AGAGCTTTTTGCAGTTTGTCATTACTTTCCAATTTCATTGTACTATGGTCAGATAATACACATGGCATAATTTCAATTTCTTTGCATTTACTTAAGCATATTATATGGGCTAGTATATGGTCTATTTTAGACAATGTATCATGTGCAACTGAGAATGTGTATTCTGATGTCGTTGGGTGGAACTCTGCACTTGTCTATGAAGTCCATTTGTTAACAAGTTTGATTCAGTTCTGTTATTTTTTGCCTAGTTGTCTCTGTGACAATGGGGTGTTAAGGTTCCCTATTACAATTTTGTTATTGCTTATTTGATTTTTCACATCTATTAATATTTGCCTTAAGTAGGTGGATGCTCCCTTATTTGGGCATATATATTTACAGTTGTTATCTTTTCAAGTTTTCTCTAACAAGTATGTAGTGATCTTCTTTATCTCTTTTGATTATTCTTGATTTTAAGTTCCTATTGTCTGCAAACAATCACTATCCATGCTTTTTTCTGGATTCCTGTTGCATGGAGTATGGTTTTTCATCCTTTGACTTTCAGTGTATGAATTTCCTTTTGAGTTAAATGTGTTTCTTGTATACAACATATTGTTGGATTTTGTTGCTTGATCCATTCTGCAAGTTTGTTTCTTTTGATTGGTGAATTGAGACCATTTATATTCATGGTTATAACTGATACGTATTGGCTTATCTTTGTCATGTCTTTCTGCTATTGGTTTCCTACTTTTCTCCTCCATTTAATTGCTTGTCCTGTTTGCTGGTTTCTTTCTGTTGTTGTTCTGGGAATTTTGGTCATTTTTATCTCTTTCTAGAATGTCTTTCAGTACTCTTTGTAGAGTTGGTTGTGTGGTCATGAAGTTCTTCAGTCATTCTTTATGGTGTGACTATCTTATTTTTCTACTAATTTTGAAAGATAATTTTGCAGGGTACATCAATCTGTGTTGATAGTTGTTTTCTTTCAGTACTTGAAATATTTCACTCCATACTCTTCTTGACTTCACTGGAGTTATATATACCTCATTTATCTGTATGTCTAGTTCTTTTCCCATGTTTGGGACACTTTCTGCTATTGCTTCTGCAAATAGCCTTTTCATTTCATTAGTGTCATCTCTTTTTTTTGTTGACATCTATCAGGATTATATTGTTTCTCTTTGCATCATCTTGCAGCTGTTGGATTATTTCCTGATTTCTTGTTTTTTTTTTTTTATTTAAGAGGAAAAAGAGAAAAACACAAAACAAAACAAAGTGGTGTAAGGGTACACGTAATACAGAACTACAAAAAAAAAAAAAAACATAACAGTAAGAAATCACCTGTTAATAGATTACATATTATCATCTTGAAAATAGTTGCTCAAATCACAGTATCAAAGAATACAAGGTGGACATTCAAACAGGGAGACTGCAAACAGCTGTGTTCAATGATCCAAAAACATTGATATAGTCAGCTATTTAACACCCCTAAACACACTTGCTGTTATGTCCGTTAGAGCTCTTTTTCTTTCTTTTTTCTTTTTTTTTCCTCTCTTTTTTACAACAAAATTTACACATTTTGGATTTTATTACTCCTTAGTGCTTATTACTTTTTTTGGGGGGGAGAGAATACAGTCAAATATGGCAAAACAAAGCTGTCAGTCAAAACCAAGGATAGACATAGCACATGGTGTAGAACAGAGAGCTGTCTCCTTTCATGGTCACTAGTTGCAACTGTCTTTAAAGTCTGGAGGCTGTCTTCAATTGTATTTATGCAGTTTTGACAGCTTTCAATGGAATTTTTCATTTCCTTGATATCTCACTGAATTTGTTTCATGTATTCTAACAGCTTCCTATATTGTTCACTCAAGGATTCTATCATTTTTTATGCTCTTATATTTTTTAAATCTATGTATTCTTTGGATATAGTCACCAATTCTTTCATTCTGTTTTTAATATGTCTGTTTTACTTGAGACATTATTTCTGATTTGATTTCCTTTATAGCTTCCTGGAGTGTTTCTTTACTTCCACTACTATCATTTCAGAAATTTCAAGTGTGTATTTTCCAAATTCATCCATGTCCATGTCTCCTTTAGTAGATCTGGATGAGCTGGTAGTTTGAGATTGTATTTTGTTCTTTCTTTTTGCAATTTTCACATGTTCCTCCAATTCAGTTAGATGCCAAGTCCTAGTTGTTTCCTGCACTGGCAGCCATTCCTGGAGCAGGCCTCATGGAGGGTTGCTGATGGCTGTGGGTTATCTGCATGCACACTTTGAACTATATGGGCTTCAGAGATGGTTCCCAGGTGTAAAAGGGTAGCCAGGGTAGACTCTCAGTTCCTGTCAGCCTGATTGAGGGTTCCTGGGTGACTGAGGGTCACTGAGCATGGACTCCTGATCCCTGTGGGCCTCAGATAGTTCTTGGCTGTGGGCTGGTCACTGGGTGCAGACTCTCAAACCTCGCTGTCCTCAGCAAGGGTTTCCAGATGACTGTGGTGTTCTGGGTGCAGCTTCCCAGTCCCCAGGAGCCTCACCTCCAGTTTCTAGGTGTGAGCAGCTCACTGGATACAGTCCCTGTGGGCTCACTGAGTGTTACTGGATGATTGCAGGTCTCTGGGCACAGACTCCTGGTCCCCAAAACCCTCAGGGAGCATTCCTGCATGGGGTTGGATCATTGGTGTTTCTTTCCAGTTCCCAGGACCCTCACCCATAGTTCCTGTGACTGAGTCACTGGACACAGCTTCCCAGTTCTTGTCGGCCTCACAGTAGGTTTCTGGATGACCACAGGTCTCTAGGTGCAAATTCCTGGTCCCCGTGGGCCTCAGAAATGGTTCCTGGATGTGGGTGGGTTGCTGGGTGCAGACTTCCAATTCTTGCAGGCCTCACTGAGGTTTCCCAGATAACTATAAGTCACTGGGCATAGACTCCCAAAACCCAGAAACTTCAGGGAGAGTTTCTGAATGACTCCTGGATGCTGCTTGCAGGTTCCTGGTCTCCACAGGCCTTAGAGATGGTTCCCAGGTGTGGGTGGGTTATTGGGTGAAGACTTCCAGTCCCTGCAGGTGTCACCAATGGTTCTTGCTTGGCACTGACTCCTGGTCCCCACAGGTTTTAGAGATGGTTCCCAGGTGTGCACAAGTCACTATGGGTGTACTCTCAGTACCCATGGATCTCACTAATGGTTCCTGAATGACTGAAGGTGGCTGGATGCAGACACCTTGTCCTTGTGGGCCTCATAGATAGCTCCCAGGTGTGGGTGGGTTGTTGGGTGCAGCTTTCCAGTCCCTAGGAGCCTCACTATGGTTTTGGGGTGTGAGTGGGTCACTGGGCACAGTTTGTAAGCCCCCATAGGGCTTCAGAGATGGTTCCTGCATGTAGGTGGATCACTGTGTGCAGCTTCCTGTGCATGAATGCCTCACTGGGGGTTTCTGGATTAATCACGGGTTGCTGTGTACAGACTCCTGGTCCCCACAGGGGACCCCTCAGAGATTGTTCCTGGGTCTTCCTTATAGTTTTAAACAGGATTTAATTATGCTGAGTTGTCAGGGATGGGTTTAAACTTGGGATCTTTTTGCTTCTGCCAGCATTACACATGTGCAGTGTGCATGTCTAGTTGCCCCTAAGTTTTATGATGAACTGTCTCATTAGTAAGAAAATTTTCCTGATACACTCCCAAGTAATATAATACTATATTAATGTTATACACATCATGAAACATAAAAAGTGGAAAACAATTTGAATCGTGCAACAAACAGAAGCTACTTAAAAGTATTATTTTACTTAATAATGTCATAACATATTTTGCTTTTGCAAATAGTAATATAGCAAGAGAATTCTTCATCATTTTTAAAAATCTTGGCTCAGTATTTTATGATACTGCAGTTCAAACGTTGAATAGATTTAGAGCCAGATATAGTGCTATGCATCTGCAGTGTCAGCTATTGAGGAGACTGAGGCAAGAGGATCAGCTGGGCCCAGGAGTTGAGGCCAGTCTGGGCAACACAAGAAGACTCTATCAATAAGAGAGAGAGAGAGAGAGAGAGAGAGAGAGAGAGAGAGAGAGAGAGAGAGAGAGAGAGAGAGAGAGAGAGAGACAGAGACAGACAGACAGAAAGAGACAGAGAGAGAAAGTTCAAAGTTATAAACACTTGTTCTAACAGCTATAACAGAAAATATCTAAGTAAAAGTACCTACTGCTGGTCTGTGTAATTACAGTGAGGTTCTTCTGAGGTACACAATATTGCAGCACCAAACCACAAGCCAGGACAGCTCGGTTCCAGGGTTAGACTGTGTTAACCCAATCTGAGCCCAGAGTCTGTGCAGCTGGAGGCAAAAATACCATGTTAACCCTACCTATCCAGGAACGGTAGGCAAACTCTCACCTGTGAACAAATTCTCTTTGTATTTGCAAAGCAGAATATACCTATAATTCCATGTAACTTTTTAAAGATTTAAGAAACTGTTGAAACTGTGAATTGCTTTTTATTATTATTACTTTTGTGAGTTGCTTATTATTACAGCTAAAGCTACTTGTGTTATGGTTTGGATTTAGGAGGTTGGCTGAGAAGACAGTATCTCACTATGTAGCCCAAGGTGGCTTTGAACTCACAATCTACGTGCTTCAGAAATGGGATGAGAGGTGTGTTGCCGCTTGGCTATGATTTGGATTTTAAATGTCCCCTACAAGCTTATGTACTCAAGTGTTGGTTCCTGATGTAGCAGTGTTCAGAGGTGGGTCTTTGAAAGGTGCCCTAACTTCATAACTGGATAATTTAGAACGTGAGTCCCAGTTGTAGGAAGTAGTATGGTGGGGGCATACCTTGAAGGGGTAATTTGTTCCTGGCCACTTCCTCTTTCATTTTCTCTTTGCTTCCTGAATGCCATGATGCTGTATTTCACAAGAGGTCCCTGAACAACAGAGCCAAGTGACTATAGACTGAGACCTCTGAAACCATGAGCCAAAATAAATGCTTCTTAACTTGATTTTCTGTTATTTTTGTCACATAGACAAAAACCAACTCACACTTACCTGGAAATGGAAGGGTCATCCATTTTTACCAATGATTTGAAGATTATTTTATCTTGTTCCAGCTCAGTGCGAAGAAACTGTAGTACCAGTAATGTAGCAATCAAGTCCAGGAGACATTCTCTTCCTTTTATACCTATAAGCAAAACACTTTTTTATTTCTTTTTTTTTTTTTTATTAATTTTATTTAAGGAGAAAAGAAAAAAAAAGCAGGGAAAGGGTACAAGTTATACAGATTTACAGAAAAAAAATGAACAGTAGGAAATCACTAGTTAATGGATTACATATTGTCATCTTAGAAATAATTGTTCAAGTCACAAAATTAAAGCTTGTAAAGTGGACATTCCATCAATGATACTGCAAACAGTTCTGTTCATTGATCCAATAAAACTCTGTGATATCATTTTCTATCTTATACACTTAAATATACATGCAGTAATATAGTTTGGAGCACTTTCTTTTCCTCTCTTTTGTACTATGACTATTACACATTTTGGGTTTCATTGCTCCCACAGTTCTTATTACTTTTTTGGAAGAGAGTAAAACCAAATGTGACATAACAGAACAGAATCGGTCAAGTCAAAAGGGTGGACATAATAGATAATGTAAAAACATAATACAAGGTGATCAATAATGGTTACCATAATGCCTCCCACTATCTCTAATAGAATTGCCTATATCGTTAGTTATAATACAATTGAACAAAACAGTAAAGAATAAAACCAACAAAACCAAAACATTGGAGACATTGTAAGTCTTCAAAAGTAGATAAAAGTCAACAAGAATGGGCGTCATAATGAATCTCATTATCTTCACAGCTGATGCCTAAACTTTCGAATCTGATACTATCCAGCAAAACAGAATAGGGGAACATCAGTTAAAAACCAGATGGTGAGAGTAATACAGGGCTTTAAATCAAGGTAATGAAAAGTCAAAGTGGGTTACTATAATATATCCTGCTATTTTTTCCTTTAATTAAAAGGATAAAGATAAAAAAGTAAATAATGGAGTGGAGATTGAGATAAAAGAGGGCATAACAGCGAAACAGCGCAGATCAAAACATAACCATTTAAGCAGAATAGTGTTTCACCAACAGATAATTCCGACCCAAAAGTAGTTACCATATTGACTCTTTTCTTGAAATCCTTGAGTACAACTTCGTATACTGTAGCATTAAGTATATCAAAACAATGTAAAACCATTTAAGAGAATGACAGCATTACAAAGTATTTAGAATCGACTAACAGAAAATGAACAATGGTTTCTGTATAATCTCCTTGTCTTTAAAAGGTTTTTGCTTATACTATCGTACATAATAAAATCCAATAAGATACAGCCTAGTTAGACCATTGGAGACAGAAGGACAAAAGCTAGATGAGACTTCAAAACAAGATGATACTGAATCAGTATTACCTATTAAGATGTCATTTTCTCCAAAATAGCTGTTCCTATCATCCAATCTTCTCTGTCTCATCTCTGTTGAGCTCTTTTTCTGTCAGTAGCTGTCAGTTTGTCTTCTTCATTTTGTTCTCTGCTCCATTCGTTGTGGCCTCTCTGCCATTATTTCTGGATTCCTTGTATTTTTCTTTTTTTAGAATATCCTGCAATACTCTCTGTAGAGTTGAATTGGTGGTTGCAAATTCCCCCAGTTCCTCTTTATCCTGGAAGCACCTTGTTTTTCCATCAATTTCCAGGGATAGTTGTGCAGGATATCTCAATCTTGGCTGGAGATTATTATCTTTCAAAGCTTGAATTATTTCCCCCCACGTTCTTCGTGATTTGATGGTTTGTGCAGAGAAATCTGGTGTAATTCTGATGGGTGTTCCCTTGTAAGTGGTCTGTTTCTTGTCTCTTACAGCTTTTAATATTCTGTTCTTGTATTGAATTTCTGGAATTTTTATTATTATATGCCTGGGTGTTGCTCTGTTTGGGTTGTAGGTAGCTGGGGTCCTGTATGCCTCATACATCTGAGTATCTTTACCTTTTGCTAAATTAGGAAAATTCTCCTGGATTATTTCTGTGAGTAGCTTTTGTAGTTCATTTGTTTGTGTCCCTACTTCTTCTTTTATGTTCTTAATCCTTAAGTTATGGATCCTCTTATCATCTTCTTGTCTTTGTATTATTGCTGTTTGTTTCTTTGTTATTTTTAAGAAGTTTTTCATTTCATTCTCCCATATTACAAGTCTGCTCTCCAGTTCAGATAGTCTGTCCTTAGTTTCTTTCAAGCTGTTATGCCAGTCTTCTATAGACTTCTTAGTATCTTGGTAGCCCCTTTGAACCTGCTTCACGTATTCTATGCTTTCTCTGTTTTCTCCATCAAACAATTCTCCCCTTTTTTTCTGTTCTTCCATTCCACCACCTGTTTTTTCTTGGGGGTACTTAGCATTTCTCTAACTATTCTGCATACTTCTAGCTTCAGGTCGTTGATAACTTCATTCCTGAATTGGTCTATGAGGCTCTCTATATGGTGCCTTATGTGTACTGGTGCGGTGTCTGCTATTGCCTGTTTCTCAAAATTGGGGGCCGAGGTGCCTTTCTTGTTGCTGCCTCTTCCCATGCTGCCTCTTCTTCTCTGTTCCTTATATATGCAAGCTTATATAAGAGGCCCAGCTTCTCTCCCAGTCAGCCACAGCCTGATCGAATCGCACCAGTTAGGTGTTCCCGCTCACTGCTGCGCACCAGGGAGTTACGGACCAGGCAGCCTACGCGTCTCCCTTCCCGGCCACCGTCAGGCTCTGGGATCTGGGTTGGGACAGCCTACCAGGTCCGCCGGCAGCGTCACGCAGGCCAGGCACTTTTCACCAATCCCACCCGAGAGGGGGATGTGTGGCTGGAGTCGCCACCGCGCCCTGCTCCCGCAGGACTGCTCGGGCCCAGAAAGTCCTCTGCTGGAGTCAAACTGTGGTAGAGTGTCAGTTTCTCTCACTCACCTCACCACAAGTCAGTGCACGCCTCCCTGCCGTTCGCAGATTGCTGTTCTCAGAGCTTCTGCCCGTCTCTCTCCTTGCCGAGCCACTGTAGAGGCAGCCAGCCGCCGCGCGGCGGAAAACCCAAATCGCGGCTTACAATGGCGCAGGGTCCAGCCTCCACACCGAGGCTTTTCTGTTCCTGTTTTAGCACCAGGACTGCATTCCAAGTTGGTTTCTCTCAGCCCAGTTTGTTCCTGAGTCAGCAGAGCATATCTCCACCTGCTTATGTCTCCTTAGTCCGCACCATTCCTGGCTTCTGAACCGAGTCTTTCAGAGAGCCTCCGGTAGTTGCTGTTATCTGTCCGCCATGTTCTCCCGGAAGTCCCACTTTTTTATTTCTTGTTGGAAACTCTGCATTACAAATTGTGCCCACTTATAAAAATTCCTTTAAATAATTAAAGGAATTTTAATTATTTATCTCTCTCTGTCTCTTTCTGTCTCTTTCTCTCTCTCTCTCTCTCTTTCTCTCTTTTTGATACAGTAACATATCATAAAACTAATACTCAAGGTTCTTAATTTGCCTGCTAATTAAAAAATGAGAATTGGAGCATGTGCATACATGCTATCTTGATGGTCATAGGCACTACATTGGATTCAGTTACCCTGCTTCCTGCTGTCTTCAAAAACCAAAAAGACATTAAATATGATAAAAGAAATTTTGTTCCTAGGCTCTTGCTGTAAAACAGTAAATCTAAATATATGACAGACAAGCCAGAGATATGACTTCTTTAAACCCACAATCAAATTATAGGTATCAGTGTTATGAACACAAATCAAAAATATTTTACTATGTTATTAAGTGTCAAAATTGAAAATAAATGTCTACTTTGAGGTGTGACTGAGATAGTTTATATTTTTAAAAATTTGTTACAGTAAGATATATTGCTGTTAATTTCCCTTACCCACTTTGCTTCAAACACACTTTACCCCAGTGTTCTTGCCACTTTCTGAAGTAATTTTAGAATCCTCTTTGTGAGAGTCTTTACAGAGTGATTAAAAAAATACAGTGAAAGCTGCTGCTGAGTGCCACTCACCAACAAGGCAGGCTCATGAAAATGTCGGTGTGTCCTCATCCACTTTATTCACCAGATCAGACCCCATGATGCTTCCAGCTCTTTCTTAAAGTCATGGTGAGATGGGGGCAGAACCAATTGGGCTGTTTTACACATTTCACATTTTCTGTATGTCATTTCTTTTACACTGGCTATAAATGAATTGCCCAAGTGCTTAAGTGCAGCACTCAGAACCATTTTTGGTCTACACTACTATCTACAGAAAAAACAAAGTCAGCTATGATCTGAAAAGGTAATCTGTTATAATCTTGTCTTTTAATACAAACCCTGCCTTTGAAAATACTTATTTGTGACAGCTGAGGCTGGACTAGAACTCACTGCAATATTCCATCCTCAGTTTCCTTAGTGCTAGAATTACAGGTATGTGCCACCATGCCCAGTGAGATTATTTTATATAAAAAATAAATTTAGTGTTAGGCACAGTGGTCCATGCCTATAACTCCAGCACTCACGGTTGATACAGGCAGGTTCACAAATCTGAGCTCAGCCTGGGCAATTTAAGCAGCTTAGTGAGACCCTGTTTCAAAACAAACAAAAAAAGGTTGGGGATGCAGTTCAGTGTGAAGATCCTGGGCTCATTCGCTAGTGTCACCTGATAGCTCCCAGACAAGTCATATTTTCATACAAGATGCTAATAATATACCTCACTAGTTAAAATCATTACAATATAGCCTCTTAGTGTTTTACTTTTTTGACTATGAAATGGTTAAAGCACATAGAAAAGATGGCAAATAATTCTACCCACTTCCCAATTTGTAACTTTTTGTTTTTTGAGACAGGGTCTCATATAGTTCAAGCTGGCTTTGAAATCATTGTGCAGCCCAGGCTGCCTCAACCTCTCAAGAGGTGGTAATCACATATTTGTGCCACCAAACCCAGTTCATCTTGTAGAATAAAAACTGTATGCTCACTAAACAATTCCCCTTTCCCTATTCTTCTTAGGCCCTGGCAACTACTATTCCATTGTGTTATGAATCTGACTGCTCTAGGTGCTTCATATATGTGGAATAATATAGTATTTGGGTACTACACCACCACAGCTTCATATAACCTAACAGTCTCCCAAAGGCCCTGTCTCCAAATACCACCACTATGTAGCATAGCTCTGTAAGGCAAGACTTTCAGAGGGACACTATTCAGTCCATAATATCTTGGGGTTATACCACCAAGTTGGGACAGGATCCTGTGATAACAGCTGTTCTCCTTTCCCACCCACAGCACAGGGCAGTTCATTGCTCCACAAGCTTGTTGCCATCTGACACTGTTAATCCCTTACAATTCAGCATTCTGAATGTTTTGTAACAGAATCTCTCTAGTTTTTACCTGTAGTTTCCTGCTTATTGGTGAAGATGAACATATTTTTATGTGCTTAATTCTTCTGTGAAGTGTCGTATTTTGCCCTTTCCCCTAGAGTTCTGTGTGTATTCTGGTTGTCAGCGCTTGCAGACACATGCTTTGTATCTTCTCCCAGTCAGTGCCATGCCCATTCATTTCCTTTCTTTCCTTTTTGTAAAAAATAGCATCATGCTATGTAGGGTAAGCTGGCCTTAAACTTGCTCTGTGGTCCAGGCTGGCCTGGAATTTGTGATCCTCCTGACTCAGCTTCCCAAAATCCTGGGAAGGGAAAAACCTGTAAACTCAGAATTATAGCATGCACCACCATGACCAGTTAGTTTCATTTAATTCTTCTTCCCTATCCTACCTCTCTTATGTATTTTTTGTTTTTAGTACTGGTGACTGAACCCTCAGTCTCCAGAGTGCTGGAACACAGGTTTGCACTATTATGACTGGTTTCTATTCATTCATTCATTCACTCATTGGAGAGAGGGTCTTGCTATGTAATTCAAACTGGCCTTGAAATCATGGCAGTCCTCCTACCTCAGACTCCCAAGTGCTGGGATTCTAGGTATGTGCCACCACTCCTGCTTCCATTCAGTTTGAATTGTGCCTCCTGATACACAGAACATTTTACTTTTGATGAAATTCAACTGATCCATTTCCCCCTTATAATTTGTGCCTTTCATGTGCTAATTTATGAAAATATTCCCATGTTTCTCCAGGAAGTTTTACAGTCTTGCCCTTTAAATCCATAGTCCATCTCGAATTAATTAATTTTTTTTCAGACAAGGTCTTGTGAAATATTTCAAGCTGATCTTAAATTTGCCATGTAGCTCAGGCTGGCCTTGAACTTGCAGTGATCCTTTATTATCCTGGAGGTAGAATTCTGAGTTTACAGGTTTTCTCCCTTCCTTCAGTCATGTATAGAGATATTCCAGTAAGCCAGGCACGGTGACATGCGCCTATAATTCTTAGAAGGTTGGAGCAGCAGAATCACTTAAATTAGGAATCCTGAGTCAGCCTGGGCACCATACTGAGTGTCTATCTCAAAAAAAAAAGGAAGACCAGGAATGTACTATGATGGTAAAGACTCAAAAGAGTGCAGAAATTGCTCCTGCAACAGCTCTATGTGTAGAAAGTAAAATCAGAGATATAACTATAGGACCTAGGACAATGATCCATCCTAAAAGCGTGAATTCTTATAGAAGCCAGGCCAAAAGAGACTGGTAAAGGTAACCTAATAAATAACAGGCCCTGATCATACATGCTCAGCCAGATAATATCACCTCTGACACTGAAGATTCAGAACCTAAACCCAAACCCAAGATCACTGGCATCAATAATATGTTTGAAGGTGGCTGTCATTCCCAAGCCATAAAAATAGGAGATAATGATGTCACTGAGTTCAAAGCCTACCTATCTGGAAATGCAATACTGACAAGCAGCTGTATCATCGGGAGGCTTCCTGCGACCTGAATACTTTTCAAGTCATCCCTGAGAATACAGTGTACTGTCTATGGTGCAGACTGTGTGGCCACATCTCCAGCCACTACAGCTGGATTTCTTGAAGAAAATCTTGCTAAATTACTACCACCCAAAGAAGACTATAAAAGGAAGCTCAATTTCAGTTAAGAACTTGGGAGTAGTATGTGACATTGAGGTAATGTCTTGTCTGACTGCTGTCTTTTTTTTTTTAACCAGAGATTGAACTTATTATCTTGCACTTGCCAGGCAGGTGCTTATGTCACTGAGCTAAATCCTGTTTTGATTGCTGTCTTTTGAAAGCCCAGTGTTTGTGTATTCTTAATAGCTCACAGCATAATACATGTTGACTTTATTTTGTAAAATTAAGTTAGGAATATAATAGATTTGCATCATAATTGTCCTTTATATAAAATGTACTATTTTCCTATAGCTTTGCTCCTTTTCTGATAACTTACAGATTTCAGTTTTTCTTTTGTTATGTAAGATGTCAGCCACAAATTTGTTTGCAAAAACTACCTGTGATAAGAAAGGATACATTATTACGTATTTATATTCTAGCATATATTAAATAAAACTGCTGGTGGCAAGAAAAAAATCCATTGTCCTTTAGCTTTCATTATTTCTGATGTGAAGTAATACAAATTACTACAGTTGTTCTCCCTTTTTAATTAAAAAATCTTAATCTGCTCTACTTTGATGTTAGATTCAGGCAACGCTTTATTCTATAAAATAAAGTATCTCATAGACTTGACTGTAATGTATGCTTTTTAATCTGGCTTTTTACACTTATCTTAAAAAACTTTATCATTGGTTTTTAGTAGGCTGACTTTGGTCTACTTGTAAACATTGTCTTTCAGTATTCAAGCTGTTTAGAATTTTGCTGAGTTTCCTGGATGTGTAAGCTATTATCTTCCATCAACTGTAGAAAATACACACTTATTTATTCAAATATGCACTTTTCTTCCACCCTTCTACCATCTGGAATCTGAAGTAAACAAATTTAAAACCTGTAGATCTCTTCTCCCAGGTCTTAGATGTTCTGGTTCTTTTTTCATTCTGTCTTTTAGTTTGTGCAATTTTTATTGAGTAAATTATTATAATTAGAGTTACATGACTTATTTACTGTGAAGCCCATTCAATGATCTTATCATTATTCACATATTATTTCCCAGCACCAGAATTTTCATTTGATTCTAATATGTAATTCAAAAATACAAAAATGTACAAAATTAAAAGAAAAAATAAAAACAAAACAAAACATATAATCATTACATGAATTCACTAGTTTACAAAGTAATTTAATATTCCTAGTACCTGCCTGTGGATGAGTAGAAATATGAATAAAAATGATGACTTAAATCAGTTTTAAAAAGCAACTTACCTAGAGATTGAATCCCTTTTTGTTCAAGAAAGTCATGTAAAACATTTGTGTTAAGGTTTAATATTTGCCCCAATTCTGGTGTAAGTTTCCAGAAACCATCCTATGAAAATAATATAACAAATTTACATGTTATTGGAATGTTACCATATAAGAAGTTATGTATACGTAAAATAAGTTTCTATTTACTTCAATCCAGTTAGGACAGTTCTCAAATTTGTACTACCACAAAATCAAAGTTCTTCCTAGACTAACACCTGGTGGCATTCATATCATGTCTGGAATGAGCTTATGTGTAGAGAGTTTTTTCAAAAGGACCCTCTGTATCCTATACATCGCTGTCTTCTAGCAATGCTTTGAATCTATGCTTCCCAAATTTTTCTTTTTTTTTTTTTTGGTGCTTTGAAACCAAGTTTCACTGTGTAGTTCAAGCGAGCCTTGAACTAAAAGTGATCTTCCTGCCTCAGCCTCTTGAGGGCTAGGTTTATTGATGTCTGCCACCTTGTATGGTTTTCACACTTTTAAACAGCATGCTTCCCTTGTAAAATAATTTATTGAGATATAACTGACATACAAAGCTATAGACAGTTAATGTATACAACTTGATATGTTTGGAGAATTATTATTAACTATTAATACTATAAACTTATCTACACTTCCAAAACTTTCTTTATGCCCTCTTTTGTTGTAGTTTTATTTTTTTGTGGAAAAAGCATATATGACCTACCTCCTAAAAATGTTAAGTGGCACTGAGGATTGAAGCCAGGGGCTTCAAAATGAGTTACATCCTAAGTGTTTTTTATTTTGACACAGAGTCTTGCTAAATTGCAGGCTAGATTCAAACTTGTGATCTTTCTGCCTCAGCCTAAGGCAGGGGAGCTTATACATGCTAGGAAAGTGCTCTGCCATTAAACTATAAAGCCAGTCCTCTCTTAGTAAATTTTAAGTATAAAAGATTATAACGCTAATTGTAGGCCCCGTGCTGTACAGTCTTCTCCGACACGATTCCTTTTATTCAGTATTTAAAATATAACTTATAGCCTGAGATATGAAAATGTCAGTCTTTTTCTAAATATAAAATTATTATGTTGAGCATGCTCTTTTTTTTTTGTCGTTTTCCTTTTTACCGGTACCGGGGATCGAACTCACGACTGCCTGCTTGCAAGGCAGGCGCTTATGCCTCTGAGCTAAATCCCCAGCCACAGAGCATGCTCTTTTTATGATTTTGCTTTTATTTGTGTAACTTTTACATGTAGCACTATTATATAACAGAATATAAAACTACAGTACTGTACCATATAGTACAATTATCGAATAGTACAGTACTGTACAAACAAGGTGTAGTGTGTGGAAAAGAACACTGAGGCTCTATAAACATGTTGCACAGAACTGTATAAAGAAAAAGATGAGTTTTAAGTCCAAAGGGCAGGCTAGAAATCTAAACAGTGAACCTCAATTGTAAGTCCAAAAACATGTTAAACAAGTAGGTTATTAAATGACAAATTTAAAAATTTTTTTGGCTTTTTGAGAGAGTGTTGCTATCTCATGGTAGCAGTTCAGGTTGTCCTCGAACTCACCTTAACGTAATTCTCCTGTCTTAGCCTCCTGAGTGTTGGGACTACAGTCACGTCACCATTCCCATCTTTCAAACTTTTAAACAGATGATTCTTTCACAGAACACATTACTCAGCTATGACTGAGATGTGAGTGCTGAGATTACAGTTATGTGCCTCCACATTCTGAACATGTTCTTTAAAACTACTTTTCCTTTGCCCATGGTGCTCTGCCCTCCCATCCCATGTGTATCAGAATACAATAAATCTATTGTATCCATGAAGCTGACTAGAGTTAAGCAAAAATGAGACAAATACCTCAGTTTGTAGACTGAAGAGTGCAGCCCAGAACACTGATTTCCTCCCATGGGCATGAGGGACTGTGCCACTCTCATCTTGTAATGGAGAGTTTGAAGTGAAGTTACTTGTTACATCAAGATTTTTCTTCTGTTTATGAAACTTGTGTGTCACAATACTTGCTGGAGTTTCATTACTTTCTGTTCCAAATAACCCCCCTCTTATATTTTTCACTCTTGCTTTTGCGCTGCTGAAACATGGGGCCTTTGGCATGGTAGGTGAAGAACACACCAACCCCCCAATATAATCTTCATGATGCGGCACATCCAAAAGGTCTTCTTGGACAGAACCTGGTGCAGCTCTATCAAACTTATCTGACAGGAAAAATGCCTCTTCAAGAAGATCCTCTGTCAGACTGAAATGGGCACTTGAAGAGAACAGTGAACTCTGTTTAACACAGGAACTATGGGGACTACGTAGTCCATCGGACTCTATGTCTGCAGAGGCCCTGGGAGGCAGCGGTCTTTGAGGAGGGGGAAAGGCCAGCTTAGGGGAAAGGTCAGAAAAAAGGTTGTTTTCAGAGCCTGGATAAAATTTGCATTGACCAAATTGTGTCGAGGTCAATGAGCCTTTTAGGAAAGTACAATCATCATGCAGGGGAGGTGGCCCTGGAGGTGGCACAGGAGAACCAAAACCTGGAAGGACATTGGGAGTATGGAAGGAAAAAGAATGGATATCTTGGGCAGCCAGGGGTGTGGGTGTAAAAAAAGAGGAGGAAACAGCCTTTTGTTTTGGCCTGGTGGTATCTGAATGGGTTTTAAGTTCTTTTTGTTCTGATGAATCAATCTGAGTCAAACACAACAGGTTTTCTACATCTCTGTTTTGAAATTCCAGTGCAACTGGCTTTTCCACCGCTTGTAGACCTACGCACACCTCTTCAGTGTCTTTAGAAACTTCCAGCATAGATAACCTGAATTTTCCTGTATCCAGACTTTGAAGCTGCAGTTCTTCATTCCATCCAGGGGATGCTGAAAGAGGCTGAGAAGAAGGGAAACAGCGCAAAGTGAACAGCAAGCAGATACCCTTCCCAGGCTTGACTTTGTGAGAATTGATCAGGCGGTCAACCCAGAGGCTGCCTTCAGATCAGGACCTGCAGCATGGGCCCTGATGCTGAGCCACTGCTCAAGACAGTCAGGGTTACATAAGTAAAACCCCTTGACACATATCTATACAACCTGAGACCAGGGAGAGTATGAGCAGTCAACATACAGAAATATCTTTCTTTATTCTTAGAATCACAAAATTTCAAACACTCTTCATTTTACACATGAGAAAATAGAATCATGGAAGGGTCTTACCCAGGATTTTACAATGAGCAATATTCATAATGTGTAAATTGGCCCCCAAATAAGCTGACAACCTGAAATAAACTACTTCAGTGTCTTTTTTTTTTCTGTGACAAAGGGAATAAAACCCAGAGTCTCTCTTATATGGCCCCAGCCATACTCAGCGGTCATTGGAAGCCAGTGCCTGCCAGTAACCAGTTCAGTAGGAAGACAAGAGTCTGCCCTGCCAGGCACACACTCCAGCAGCCATTGGGAGACACTGCCCATGGGTAGCCAGCACAAGCTGGGAAAAAACTGCAGCCACCAGGACAGCCAAATAGTCACGCTCTGGAGAAACTAGCCAACACAAGAAGTACCTGGGATCCCACTACTCACTTGTTTAGAAGAACCCAAGAAAATGTCAAGATGAAGAAACAAAAGGCAGACCCTAGACTGTAACCCAAGCAAAGGAAGTCCAGGAGATGAAAACATGGAAGAGATTGGGAGTTGCACACCTGAAGTTTCTGAAGTTGATGGCATTGGAAGTAAAGAGACAACTTTATGAGGCTTTAAAAGAAATTAGAAAAGAAGTACTATCTAAGGTAAAAGAAGAAATGAAAATCATAATAAAGAATTGCTAACCGTCCCTAAGGAAGACATAGATAAAAAATAGGGGAGCATAGGAAAATGAGGGAAACCATGAACGAACATTATAAGAGAGATTTAGAATACATGAAATAGAACAAAGAGATATCCAGGAAATTAAAAACTCCATCAAAAGCTGCAAAAATCACTTAAAAGAAACTGAAGATAGACTTTCAGACCTTGAAGACAGGTGTGTAGTTTGTAATCATGAAAGGAAAAATCTCTTAAATAACAAGGAACCAGGAGATACCAATTCAATGACTGCAAGATGATGCAAAGCAAAATAATTTAAGAATAATAGGTGTCAGTGAAAAAGCTGGGGTCAACACAAATGATATTAAAATTTTATTTACAGAAATAATAGCAGAAAACTTTCCAAAATGGGAAAAGGACGCGATATACAGTTAAGAGAGGCATGTAGAACTCCAGATACCCATAAACCAAAATAAATCTACACCGGAGACATAAAAATCAAGATTCCAGAAATTCAACACAAAAACAGACTATTAAAACTTGTTAGAGAAAAGAAACAGATCACCTATAAAGGAAAATCCATCAGAATCACGACAGACGTCTCAACACAAACTATCAAGTAAGAAGAGCTTGCAGTGAAGTGTTTCAAGTCCTGAAAAAAAACACCTTCCAATTCAGACTGATGTACCCTGAAAAACTATCTTTCAAAACTAATGGAGAAATAAGATACTTCCATGACAAGGAACAACTGAAGGAATTCATGATCATCAAACCAATCCTATAGAGAGCGCTCAAGGATATTCTAGAGAGAGATTAAAAAGACCACAGTTCCAGAAACAGCAGCAGAGAGGGATCACCAAACGGGGCAAACAACTGAAAGGAGGGAAAAGTAGGCAGCCAATGGCAAACAGTAAGGCAGAGACAAGCCAGTGCATGTTGGCCATAACCATTAATGTAAATGGCCTCAATTTACCAATAAAAGAAATATTCCCAGAGTGTATCTATCTTCCCAGGAGACAAGATCGATCAATATACTTTATTCAAGAAATACATTTAACTCTAAAAAAATTCATAGACTAAAAGTCAAAGAAGAGAAAACAACACTCTATGTAACAGGGACTCATAAGAAAGTAGAGGTAGCTTGCACATCAAGTGCTGAATAGATAAGCTATGACATTTCTATACAATAGAAAGCTACTCAGCTATAAAGAAAGCTAACCTCAAGGCTCTTTTTAGGTAAACAAATGCAACTTGAGACCATGTTCACGAGTGAAATGGTTCAGAGTCACATGGGTGAACATAATGTTGTCTCTCTAGTATAAAAAAACTAAACAAGTTAGTGGGATTCAAAATGCACAACAGAAGTTGTGAAAGTGAAAAGGGAGGAGATGTCCAGAGGGGGAAGGCAGTGGCCATTGTTTTTTTGTTTTCTTTTTTTTTAAAATTTTATTTAAAAGAAAAAAGAGAAAAAACAAAACAAAACAAAGCAGTGCAAGGGTACAAGTAATACAGAACTACAAAAAAAAAAAAAAAAAAAAACACTAAGAAATCACCAGTTAATACATTACACATTATCATCTTAGAGATAGTTGCTCAAGTCACAGTACCAAAACGTACAAAGTGGACGTTCAAACAGTGAGACTGCAAAGAGTTGTGTTCAATGATCCAACCAAAAACATTAATATGGTCATCTATTTAACACCCCTAAACACACTTGTAGTTGTATCCTTTAGAGCACTTTTTTTCCTTCTCTTTTTTACAACACAATTTACACATTTTGGGTTTTATTACTCCTTAGTTCTTATTATTTTTTTTTTTGAAGAGAATAAAGTCAAATATGGCAAAACAAAGCTGTCAGTCAAAACCAAGGATAGACACAGCACATGATGTAAAAACAGAGTACAAGGTTATCAACAATGGTTACCATAATTCCTCTTGCTTCCTTAAAAAGAATTGTCTATCTCATTAGGTATTATAAAGTTGAACAAAACAGTAGAGAACAAGACCAATAAAACCTAAACCTTGTAAACATTACAAGACTTCCAAAGAACATAATAGGCAAACCAGAATGGGTATCATAGTGAATCTTATTGCTCTCAAAGTAGTTGCCTATACCCTCAAACTTGATACTATCATACAGAATGGAACAGAGTCTAATCAGTCAAAACAAGACAGTGGGAGTTTTACAGGACTTCAAATCAAGCTAACAGGAAATCAAAAAAGTTACTATAATATATCCTGCTAATTTTTAAAATTTTTCCCCTTAACTAAAAAAATCATAAAAAATAACTAAATAATTTTTAAATGAAAAAGGGAGAGATAAGATAAAAGAGGACATAACAACATAACAATACAGGTCAAAGCATGACAGTTACAGCAACCTAGTGCCTCACCACCAAATAACCCAACTTAATAGTAGTTACCATAGTGTCTTTTTCCTAGAAATATTTGAATATAACTTCATATACTATAGCTTCAAATATATCAAGTCAGTGTAAAACCACTGAGGTGGATGAAAGCATTGTAGGGTATTTAGAACCAGCTAACAGAAAACGAACAATGTTTTATATATTACCTCTTTGCCTATAACAATTTTTGTTTATACTATCACATATAATAAAATCCAGCAAGAAACATTATGAAAAAATTAATGGAGACAGAAGAGCCATAGTTTGGTGGGGCTTCAAAACAAGATGATAGTAAACCAACACTAGCTATTATGATGACTTATATTCTTCAAAATAGCTCTTCATTTCATCACAGGCAATAACATCAAGCAGCTCAGAATAAAGCCATTCCAATTAATAAGTGAAAACTTTATAAGGCTTCAAGGCCACATAATGGGGAATCATGATTACCACATACTTTTATATATTTGAATCATTACTTACATTAGGGAAACTATTTGATATTCACACATGCGAGATTAATTTATTTCACTTATGAGTATGGTCTCAAGCTGGGCCCATTTATTGATAAATATATCAATGTGATCCTTCTTTATAGCTGAGTAATACTCCATTGTATAGAAATACGACAGCTTTTTTTTTTTTATTTTTATTTTTATTTTTTTTGTCTTTTTCTTTTTTATTGGTACCGGGAATCGAACTCACGACTGCCTGCTTGCAAGGCAGGTACTTATGCCGCTGAGCTAAATCCCCAGCCCCACGACAGCTTTTTTATGCATTCCTCAGTTGATGGACACTTGGGTTGTTTCCAAGATCTGGCAATTACAAATTGTGCTGCTATAAACATAGGTGCACATATATCACTGTGGTATGATGCTTTCAGTTCTTCTGGGAATATGTCTAGAAGTGGAATAGCTGGAATAAATGGGACTTCCAATCCCAGCTTTTTGAGAACTCTCCAGACTGACCTCCACAAAGGTTGTACTAGTCTACACTCGCACCAACAGTGCAGGAGACTTCCTTTTTCCCCACAGCCTCTCCAGCATTTGTTGTTGTTGATTTTCTTGATCCTGGCAATTCTTTCAGGAGTGAGATGGTATCTCAGTGTGGTTTTTAATTTGTAGTTCTCTAATGACCAATGATGATGAACATTTTTTCATGTATTTATTTGCCATTTGTATTTCTTCATCTGAGAAGTGTGTATTCATCTCAGATGCCCATTTTTGGATTGGATCTTTGAATTTTGGGGGTCTGAGTTTTTTTTTTTTAATTCTTTATATGTTTTAGACTAAAATCCCTTGTCTGAGGGGGAGTTCACTGAAATCTTTTCCCAGTTTGTGGGTTTTCTTTTCACTATGCTGGAGATTTCTTTTGACATGCAGAAACTTTTTAATAATAGGTGGTCCCAGTTATTGATTCTGGGAAGTATTTCCCATGCAGTTCGAGTCCTGTTCATGAATTCTCTACCTACCCCTATGTCTTCAACGTTTCAACCCGATTTGTCTTTCAATAGATTTAGTGTTTCTGTTTTAATATTCAGATCTTTGATCCATTTAGATTTTAATTTAGTACATGGTGATAGGCATGAGTCTAGCTTTAGTTTTCAGCAAATGGAGAGCCAGTTTTTCCAACACCATTTATTAAAGAGACTGTCCTTCTTGCAGTGAACCTGCTTGGCTCCTGTATC